TTAAACCTACTCCTACGGCTTCCAGCCAAACAATAGACAGGCATATGAGGTAAACATTTACACTAGGTAGATACACTTCTTGGAGAGAACAATCATGGGAGAACAGAAGGACTGTGCGTGCACAGGGAGATAGCTCAGGGGGCAAGAGCACATAGAGGGATGGATATAGGGAAGAGGTAACTATGGGGAGGAAGTGGGAGGGGAGCTATTGCATTGTGGTAAATTGTAGTCAATGTCATGAGACAAAGTGTATGTGAACTGCTGTATGGTAAATGAATTTGCTCTGTAAACTTTCACCCAAACCACAATTTGGGCTTTGAAAATTTAGTTTTTTCTAACTATCCTCCTGTTCCTCCCCCCCTCCTCCCAACCTAAGACCAGATCATTCCTTGTTTGTTTTCTCTTACATACGTTTCCTTTATGGAACTGACCACAACTGCAATTATTTTTTTTATGTGGGTATCTGTTTATCTGTCTTAGAAAAAAATCTGATAATTTAGAAAGGAAACTTGTCAGATTTGTCAATCACTTAAATCCCCAACACCTGCTATTTAGCAGCTATACAATAAATAACTGATGGATAAGTAAATGATTGATCTTACTGAGTTGGAATATGGTTTTTTGACTATGATGGATCTGAAAAAAATTTACTATCACCATCTTACCCAATAAAATTGAGAAGAAAGAGATACCACATATAAAATTGTTCCTGTCTATTGTGTTTTCTAATCTTAATATTGATTAAGTCTTCACTCTTCATTCAGATCCATTCTATGAGTCAAGTAGAGAAAAGAGACTAAAGAAATTAGGTGACAAGTGTCTTGGAAGACATGCTATAGAAACAGCAAAGGGAATAACTAACAGTGACTCCTAGAAAGATCTTACTGCATTTTTTTTTTTTTCACTAAAACACAAATAGTAAAAATAGTTTATTGACCTTTTTCATTTCTGTTCTCAAATTTGCCAGTAAGTAAAACAATTTTTTAGACATTTATTTGACCCACTAGAGGGCAATAAAGCCTTAAGGACAAATTAATCTCCCTTCCTTTAAAACTATAGCAATTAATACTTGCACAGTTAATTCAGAAATTAATCACAAAATTTTGCTACTTATTTAGTTTTTCATGTATTAGTGAAATTTCTGTCTCTTATTTTTAATTATTTTCCCCCACAATGCTGGCACAGCATCCTTATCATGGTACATGTCTAATCCATGTCCTAAAGTTTGAATTTGGTAACAGTATGTAAAGAATATGCTTTGATGAGGGTCTGTATAGTAGTGGTACAATGTAAACTTCTATTTTAGAACTTTAAGGAAGATGCTTACAATATGACCACAGTTAAGGAAAAAAAATGGCAGTAAGGATAAAACTTACATAATGATTAAAATAAGGTACTATAAATGAAAATACTCTGTGCACTCTAATGTTTATACAAACATAAGATTATTTTATGATTTGGTAAAATTGTGTTTTATATATAACTCATTCATTGCTATCAAGTTGGATCTGACTCATAGCCACATCTCCTTGGGTTTCCGAGGTGGTATCACTACGGAAGTAGATTGCCCAATCTTCTTTCCAAGGAGTGGCTGGTGGGTTTGAACCGCCACCCTTCTGGTTAGCAGCCAGATGCCTTAGCCACTACACCAGAGTGCCTTTTTATACATAATAGTATAATAAAACTGTGGCTTAGGAAGAGAAGAACTGAAAATCAGGAAGGACGTTAAGAGCTAAAGTTCAGATTGACAGTTACTGAACCTGATTCTAGGGATATAAAGAAATGGTCCTCCTGAGATCTTTTTCTAGTTCTGGAACAAAAAAAAAATTAACCATAAATTAAATATAGTGTAATAAATGATAAGTTAAAAAAGTAGGATTACTTAACCCAACCTGGCAAAGCGTCCTGGAGAAGAAGACACATGAGAAGAATGTTAAAGAAGAATAAGCATTATCCAGGAGAGTGAAAGAGCATTTTAGGTAAAGGGAAGAGTAAAAGAAGCAAAGGTACAGAATTATGGACCATATTGGGGGGTGAGTACAGCCAGGAAACAACACAACTCAGATTGCTTTTTTGTGTTCTCTTTAACATAGATTACTAGTTCCTAAAGAATAAGAAAAGGAGCTCTGGTAGTGTAGTGCCTAAGGCATCTGACTGCCAACCAGAAGGTTGGCAGTTCAAACCCACCAGCCACTCCACAGAAGGAAGACTGGGCATTCTACTTCCATAAAGATTTACCACCTCAACATTTTCTTTGTTGGTTACCAGGGGTAGGAGGGAAGGGGAGGGAATGCTGTTAGATAGATAGAGATAAATATTGATTTGGGTGAAGAGAAGGGTAATGTACCAAATGTGAGTAACCAATATGGCAGCATTGAGGATGAGAAAGAGAGAGTTACATGGGCAGTACAAACAACAAATATGAACCCCTTTGCAAATACAATACTGAGTTGTCAATGAAAGCAAACATGGGTATAGGGACGGATAGATGGGTGAACAAGCTAAACAATTATGTATGTCTAAATGGAGAGTGTATCCAAGATCATATACAGGGTTGGCAGACAATGGGCCTCTCAGGGTGCAGAAGAGTATGAAGGGATGGACACTGGGAGGAGGTAACTATGGGGAGGAAGTGGGAGGGGAGCTGCTGCATTGTAAATTTTGGTCAATGACATGAGACAAAGTATATGTGAACTGCTGTATGAAAAGTGAATTTACTCTGTAAATCTTCACCCAAATCCTAATATATAAAAAAAAAAAAAAGATTTACCACCTCAGAAACCCAGTGGGGGTTGCTGTCAGTCAGAATCGAATCGATGGCAGTGAGTTTGGTTTTGGTTTAAAGAGCAAGAAAGAGTTGAGAAAAACAATCAGGAGGATAGAAGTGAATAGAAATAGAAAACAATCAAAAAAAATAAATAGGCAAAGTAGGGTATAAAGTAGAGGATGTAGAAAAAAAGAAAAGCCATCTTTTTGTTAGTAGAGAATGGCTTTTTAGAGGGGCTTCAAATGTAGAAGGATGGAAATCCTACTGTGTGGCATGTGCCTACTCAAAATTTTTCTTAAAATTGGCTAAATCCTGCTTGTGGATTTTCATTCATTCCAGCACAAGATAAACCAAGTCCCTGTCTTCATGGAATTTACAAAGCCAGTGGGGGCTGAACAAACAAAAATAAATGAGCAGATAAATATATGATTACAGACCTTATATTATGAAGGGACGAAACAGGTAACATTATAAAAACTTAGTAAATAGTATCTACTTGAATAAAGAAGGTTTTCTGAGAGGGTAACATTTGAGTTAAAGACTGATGAAAGAGAAGGAACCAACTATTCAAAGAACAGTAAATGCAGAAGCCTTGAGAAGAGAAATTGTTTGGTGTATTTAGGAGCAGGAACATGGCCAACGTGGCTGAAGTATAGCAATTAAGGGGGAGATTGGTACAAGGTGAGGTCAGAAAGACGGGCAAGGGCAGAACACATAGGTCCTCACAGGCCTTTGTAAAGAGTTGAGGCTTCATTCTAAGGAGAGGATTTTAAGCAGATAAGAAATAACATTTTCAAGAGGGAGCTTGTTCCTATTTTAACCCCCATGTTTTATTCCACCCTAAACTGGATTTTTGAGGAGACTCAGGGAAAATACCTTTGCTGACATGAATTCCATCATTTGTTACATTTGCAAGGAAGTTGAGGTTAATAGCACTAATGATGGCGGTTTTCTGTGACCCTTTCTGTCATAAGAAGCCCTGGTGGTGTAGTGCCTAAGACATTTGACTGCTAACGAGAAGGTTGGAGGTTCAAACCCACTAGCCACTCCATGAAAGGCAGACTGGGCAGTCTACTTCCATAAAGCTCTACCGCCTTGGAAACCCAAAGAGGGTCGCTCTAAGTAGGAATTGACTCAATGGCAGTGAGTTTGTTTTGTTTTAAAGAACCTTATTACTTATGTATACTTAAGGCTGCACAAAACAAGAACAGCAAGAAAGTATTAGGCAGGAGTAGCCTTTTCTGAAGTAATAATTTATGGAAATCATTTTTCATCTTTGCAAGTCTCCATCTTATTGCCTTAGGTGGAAGATTTTCTTTTTTCAGAAATGTTATTTTGCTTGGTGGGCAAGTGAATATAACTTTAAGATTTTCCTTCAGTAGTCACCAAATTTTCTATATTTATAATTACCCTTATGAAGAGCTGGACCTAAAAGATTCTGTTACCATTTTTAAACTGATGATTTCCACTTTGTCAAAATTTATTGATGCTAGTCACAGAAACAGTTCCACTCAGTTTCAGAAATGCAAAGATTTTGCCATGTATTTGCAAATGAGCATTTATTAATATATTTTAATCTTGAACATGTACAGATTCCTTTATTTCCAGATATTTATTTTGTGCTATACAGAAGCTAATTAACTTTTTTTCTGGTAAACAAAGCAACATTTGAATTTTTAAAGAGAAAGCATAAAAGAAAAGATTATTGGTATTTTATTGATTTATTTCTCTGATATATTTTATACAAGGATCTCAAAACACTTTAAGCTCTTCTCTGACCTTTCAACATTTTGCGTTTTCTGTTTACAAAACCTAAATTGCCTTTTTTTCCCTCTTCAAGTTGTGGGAAAATATGTACACTAAAAACTAATAAAGAAATTTTCACCTAAAAAGAATTTTTTCTACCATCTTAGGCTCTTTAAAAGATTAATGTAAGTTCATTAATTCCTTTCTGTTAGTGGTAAAAACAAGTTCTATAGAAACAGAGTATTTGCTTGAGCCACTCGGTTTTGAAATTTTCTTTCCATTAGTATTTTTAATTGAGCAGAAGAAGAAAAGTAATCTTCTAATACATTGACATTTCTTACCTTCACTTTGAATGTAAAGCAAAAGAAATCTATTGGTTTTGCTGTGTGATTTAACTGATTTTCCTAAGAAATGAATATGCACGTACAATTAAAGATTTGTCCTTCTCCCTAATGGCTCTTTGTTTTGTAGGTCATGGTGTGAACTCATGAATAGGAGAAGATTTCTTCTTGCCTCTGTACTTGCTCTCCGAAATTCCAGTTTTATATATCCCTCATGTCAAAAATGCTTCTCTCGGATAATACTAGTCTCCAAAAGGTAAAAGTAAACCCTAAAACCTGTCTCTCCTGATAACGTGTCCAAAATACATTAGACAAAAACTCACCATCTTTCCTTCTGACGACATTCTGGCAGCACTTGTTCCCAGATAAATATGCTTGTTTTGCTGGCAGTGGGTGGTGGTGGTGGTGTTATGTGCCATCGAGTCGGACCCAACTCATAGTGACCCCTCCTTGAGTTTCCAAGGTAGTATCACTACAGAAGTAGATTGCCCAATCTTCCTTCCAAGGAGTGGCTGGTGGGTTTGAACCTCCAGCCTTCTGGTTAGCGGTCAAGTGCCTTGACCAACACTGTGATTCACAGATATCAATTCTTCTTCCATGTTCCTTATTCATTGTCCAGCTTTCGTATGCACATGGCTTAAGTCAAGTGCACCTTAGTCCTTATAAGCGACTTTTGAACACTTCAAATAGGTCTTCTTTATTGGTTACTGGGCGTGGGAGGGGAAGGGAGGAAACAGTGCAAAAATAGACAGAGAGATAGAAAGAAGGAAGGGAAGGGAAGAAATTCTCTGCTTTTAGCCAACATCCATCTGACATTAGTAATGATATCTCTTGTTCCATGTCCTTTTCTGAATCCAGCTTGAATTTCTGGCAGTTTCTTGTCAATGTACTGCTCCAACTGTTTTTGACTTATTTTTAGTGAAATTTTACTTGCATGTGATATTGATGATATTGTTTGATAATTTCCACTTTCTGTTGGATCTTTTGAGTGGCCACAGACATGGAACTCTTCCAGTTGGTCAGATAGTTGTCTTCCAAATTTCTTGGCATAGGTGAATGAGCACTTTCAGCATTGCATCCATTATCCAAATATCTCAATTGATATTCCATCCATTCCTGGAGTCTTGTTTTTTGCCAGTGCCCTCAGTGCATCTTGGACTTTTTCCTTCAATACCATTGGTTCTTGATCATATCCTACCTCCTGAAATGGTTGAACATCAATGAATTATTTTTGGTACAGGGACTCTGTATCCCTTCCATCTTCTTTTGATGCTTCCTGCATCATTCAGTATTTTGTCCATAGATTCCTTCAATATTGCATCTTGAGGCTTGCATTTTTTTCTTCAGTTACTTCAGCTTGAGAAATGCCAAGTGTTTCTCCGTTGTGGTTTTCTGACTCCAGGTCTTTGCACATTTCATTATTGTAATGCTTTACTTTGTCTTCTCAAGCCACCCTTTGAAACTTCTGTTTAACACTTTTATTTCATCATTTATTCCATTCAATTTAGCTACTTTTTGTTCAAGAACAAGTTTCAGAGTCTCTTCTGACATCCATTTTGGTCTTTTTTTTTTTTTTCTTCCTGTCTTTTTAATGACCTTTTGCTTTCTTCATGTATAATATCCTTGATGTCGTCCTACAACTCATCTGGTATTCGGTCATTATTGTTCACATCAAATCTCTTCTTGCGGTGGCCTCTAAATTCAGGTGGGATATACTCAGGGTCATACTTTGGTTTTCATAGACTTGTTTTAGTTTTCTTCAGCTTCAACTTAAGCTTGCATAAGAGCAATTGATGGTTGGTTCCAAAGTTGGCCCCTGGCCTTGTTCTGACTGTTGATACTGAGCTTCTCTATTGTCTCTGTCCCCAGATGTAGTTGATTGATTCCTGTGTCTTCTATCTTAATGAGGTCCATGTGCATAGGCAACCGTTTATGTTACTGAAAAAAGGTATTTACAGTTAATAAGTCCTTTGTCTTACAAAATTATATCATTCAATTTTCAGCATCATTTTTATCACCAAGGCAATTATTTTCCAGCTACCAATTCTTTGTTTCCAACTTTCACATTCAAATCACCAGTAATTATCAGTGCATCTTGATTGATTGTTTGATCAATTTCAGACTGCAGACATTAGTAAAAATCCTGAATTTCTTCATCTTTGGCATTAGTTGTTAGTGCATAGATTTGAATGATAGTCATACTAACTGGTCTTCCTTACAGGATATGAATATTACCCTATCACTAATAATGTTGTAAGTCAGGGTAGATCCTGAAATGTGCTTTTTGACAGTGAATGTGACACCATACCTCTTCATTTTGTCATTCCCAGCATAGTAGACCGTATGTTTTTCCAAAATGGCCAATACTAGTCTATTTCAGTTCACTAATGCTGAAGGTGGGAGCTCTGGTAGCATAGTGCCTAAGGCACTTGACTGCTAACCAGAAGGCTGGCGGTTCAAACCCACCAGCCACTCCTCAGAAGGAAGGTTGGGCAATCCTACTTATACTGCCTCGGAAACCCAAGGAGGGGTTACTATGAGTCAGGGCTGCCTCAACGGCACATAACAACAACAACAACAACAACAATGCTAAAGGTATCAATCTATGTTCCATTTCATATTTGACTGCTTCCGTTTTCCTGGATTCATACTTCATATATTCTACATTCTGATTATTAACAGATGTTCATGGCTGTTCCTTCTCATTTTGAATCGAACCACTTCAGCAAATGAAGGTCCCAAAAGCTTTACTCCATCCACATCGTTAAGGTCACCTCTACTTTGAGGAGGCAGCTCTTCCCTGGTTGTATTTTGAGTGCCTTCCAAGCTGAAGGGCTCATCTTCTGGGACTATATTCCAATATAGTAGACAAAATGTGGACAATATTTCACTGCCATTCAGAGGGTTTTCAGTAGATTTTTTTTTTTTTTTTTTTTCAGAAGTAGATCACCAGGTCCTCCTTCCTAGTCTGTCTTTGTCTGGAAGCTCTGCTGAAACTTGCCACCATAGGCAACCCTGCTGGTATTTGAAATACTGATGGCATACCTTCAATACCACCACAACACACAAGCCACCATAGTATGACCAACTGACAGATGAGTGGTGGTAGATAACACTAATGAATCTTTATTATGTGCTAGGCACTGCTAGAAGCTTATAAGTATTATATCTTTTAATATAATCACCACCATGAGGTGGATACTATTGTTAGACCAACCTTCAAAGGAGGAAATTGAGCTTCGAAAATTTAAGAAACTTGCCACAAATCACCCAGCCAAGTAGTGTGTGGCAGAAACAGCTGAGCCTAAACGATCTGACTGCTATCTATATTCATAATCACTCTTTTACCTCCACATTAGCAGTAGACTCTATACTGCATGAAGAGCGTGGAACAGACCATTCAGAAATATAAAACCCACAACACTTGGTCCTTCCCTGTGGAAACAGTCCACAGAAATATAAACTGTTCTCTACATATGTCACATTGATAATACTACCAAGAAATATATTCCCAACATTATCTTTTCTAATGTTGTTTCTGCTGTTCTTATTTGGAGTCATCTGTAAGTAAGACGGGAAACAGAAAGTCCTCATGTTCAGTTCTTTCCTGTTATAACATAGCAAGGGAGTCCCTGGGTGGCATACGTGGTTAAGTGCTCAACTACTAACCAAAAGGTTGTGGTTTGAACTCACCCACAGATACCTTGGAAGACTGGCATAGTCTTCCGAAAGGTCACAGCCTTGAAAACTATGGAGCAGCAACACGGGGTCATTGTGAGTCAGAATCAACTTGACAACTAAAACCACCACCACCAGCACAGCATAGCAAGTTTATGACAGGAGTTTCACACTGTAGCTTTTGCAGGGGATCTTAAGAGACAGTAAAGTGCAGAGACTGTTCCCTAAAGATATTCTTTGAACCCAAAATCAAGGGGTTAAAGCCCCAATAGGTATCTGTACCCTGGCTTCTCAAAACATGGTCTAAGGACCAACAGCCTCAGCATCACCTGGCTCATTAGAAATACAAAACCTTTGGCTTCTTCTTAGTCCTCCTGAATCAGAATCTTCATGTTAACAAGCTTTTCAAGTGACATGTATAGCTATTAAAGTTTGAGAAACTGATCTTTGTTATACCATACTTACATTTATTTCAATTCAACCTTATCCCAAAAAAGATTAAAAGAAACTATATAAAATAAATATCTTCAGTATACATATTTATTATACACAAGTATATATATGATTTAATATGTATGCATTAATACTAATAGACTTCATTTTTGTTAGGTTATTGCTGATACTCTTTTTTTTTTTTTTTTTTTTTGCAAGATAGTTCACTGTTACCCATATTGTTCCCAATAGTTATCATAAGAAGTTATATAGGAAATAACTCAGGCTAAGAGTCCAAAGCCTTGGATTTGGTTCATAAATTCACTAGCTTTGTCATCTTGAGCAAAAAGTCACCCAAGTTTAGTAATAATTGTAATACCTACCTTATTTACCTATCAGAAGTGTTGGGGTGTGGGGGGGGATATTGTATGTGAAAGAAAGCATCTATGAATTGCAAAACACTGAATGTATATAAGTTATTCTAAGATTTCCTGGAAATTTTACACTAGGTCTTAATACATAACCTTTAAAGAAGTTCTAATATATAGTTAAACATTTAGTTTATTAGATTTCACTGATACCAAAGAGATTTTATCCTGTAGTGAGTCAATTGACTCACTTTATTCTGTGGTCACAACACCAGAATAAAACTCCGTCAGATTAGTGGTTATTGAGATAACATTCCTGTGGAGTCAGTTCTGACTCGTAGTGACCTGATAGGATGGAACTGTCCCATAGGGTTTCCAATCTTTACAGAAACAAGAGTGCTGCATCTTTCTCCGGTGCAGCAGCTGGTGGGTTCAAACCACCAACCTTTCTTTTGGTTTTTAGCCTAGTAAGAACTTATGAATAGGTTAGTACAGATCTATACAAAATGTGACAAAAAAAATACTAAGCAGTGATCTAATTGTGATGATTTAGTAACATCTTGTATGAAGAACTAGACTAATCTTTAAAATACATTGTCACCTTGGATGCTATGCAGTTTTAGGCTCCCCCTAGTGGCTGTCTGGCAGCACTCAAATTTATACAACTATATTTAACATATTGTATTAGGAGCTCTGATAGTGTAGTGCCTAAGGCATTTGACTGCTAACCAGAAGAGTGGTGGTTCAAACCCACCAGCCACTCCTCGGAAGGAAGGTTAGGCAATCTACTTACGTAGTGATACTGCCTCAGAAGCCTAAGGAGGGGGCGTTATGAGTCAGATCTGACTTGATGACAATGTGTTTGGGTTTTTTATTTATTTGCATCTTGCCACTCTTTTTAAACCAGATCATTATCAACATTGAGGGGTGTCGACATAAAGTCTTAGTACTATCTATTACTAACAGGTGTCTTAAGGCATCTGTTTGCTAAACTAAGACAATGAAAAACTGATAAGACACTATTGCAAACAGCTACAAAAACATTAAGTAGAAAAGACGGTAATCATTACACTATTTAATATAATTATGAGAGAAGCAGACTAACACTGATTTGGTCAGATCATCACTAAATTCTTGATTTACTTTATTTATCTTATTTTATCCTTCTTCAGCCCCAGATTTTACAGATGAGGCAATCTAGGTGATCTAGGAACCATCCCAAGGGCAAATAGCTAATACATGACTAGAGAGGTACAGTTGACATGTACTTTTTGATTAGAAAGCCTTTGGCCATAATTACTTATGCATGATTTTCATATCTGATTTTTGTAATCTGTTAATCTTCAGCATATTTCAATAAATAAAGTTTTTCTTTTTATGGTAAGAAAAATTCAATTACATACTTTGTGTATTAATATTGAATATTTCAACATTATTCATTATTCTCATATCAGAAAGTAATAGTTGTTGTCAAGTCAATTCCAACTCACAGTGACCCTACAGGACAGAACTGCCCCATGGGGTTTCCAAGGCCATAATCTTTACAGAACCAGACTGCCACATCTTTGTCCTATGGAGCAGCTGGTGGGTTTGAACCACTGACCTTTCTTTTAGTTATTAATCAAATACTTAACCATTGCAACACCAGGGCTCCTTTAACCAAAGATATACTTTATGTTTCAGATATGTTTTGGTGTGGTACTCCATAAATTTAGTTTATGCCCCCAGACCATAATATGCCTCAATTCATTAATACAGCTTTTTCTCTCACAGTTTTCCTTTAGTTTTGTTTTTTTTTTAATCAATTTGGTATGAGCTAGTTAATTGAATCAGTAGAGCTAGTGGTTATGAATAGGCAATTCAAAAGACGTTCTGAAATAGTTTAAGTAAGTTGTATAGGTATATTTGTACATAAAATATTATTTTAATTTTCAGTTTACTTTTTTGGATTTTTCATCATATGAAAGAATTTTTAATGAATATCTCTGCATTGTTTCATTCTCCCTTTTCCAGGTTTAATTGTCCAAAATGTGGCTTTACCGGTGAAGCTGAAAATACCAGTTACAGATACAAACTTTCCTTAAAGGTTGCAGAATCAAACAAATTGTTTGACATTACTGTATTTGGAAGCTGTTTGGATACATTTTTTGGTCTTACTGCCACTGGTTTGCACAGGTAGGAATATTCAAAGCATCTTTTTTTCCTAGCTCCTCCTTTAGTATATCAATAGAATTTGGAGATAGGTAGTTTTATGTAAAATGCATTTCCTAAAAAGATGCTCAGTCAACCTCAGATCATCAGTTTTAATAATAGTCAAATGAGGGAGAGATTTTCATTTCCTGAAAACATATTGTAATAATGTTTAGCCAGATTCCTTTTATTCAAGCCAATTAAGCTGTAATTAAAATATTGATTTAAATTATAAAATTCTAACCCAGTATAGAGAAATAATGGAAAAAGAAAGTAAAATCATTTCAGATTGAAGGTTTATCCAAATTGAGGTTAGCATTCAAGTGGCTAAGTTCTCTTGAAGCAGAAAAAGCTATTTGAAAGAATATTTGCATAAAAAGTTGAAATCTTGTCATTTCTTTCCTTTGTGTTGAGATTTTATCTGCATAGTTTGACCTATTAAGAGGTCTTGAGAATGGAAGACTATATATAAGCAATTGAAACTTTTCCTTCCCTTCAGTCTTCCACCTTGACCATAATCACTTGGCAGAAGAAATCTATGTCCGTGTCCTTCTCGTAAGGTCAAACTGGGGTCCCAGCAGAGGGACCACAGCCAGGACTGCCAGAGAAGAGGAGAAAATTTCCTGTTTCGTGCAGAAGGGCTAAAAGGTCCCACCACTGTTCCCACTGCCACTTTTTATTTTTCTCTATAATATTTACCAACAACAACAATTGGCACAGTGGTTAAAGCATTCGGCTGTTAACCGAAAGGTTGGCACCTTGAACCCACCAGCCACTCCACAGGAGAAGATGTGGCAGTCTGCTTCTGTAAAGATTTACAGCCTTGGAAATCCTATGGGACAGTTCTACTCTGTCCTATAAGGTTTCTATGTGCCAGAGTTGACTCGGTGGCAGTGGGTTTTTTTGTTTTAATTATGAAGCAGATGTCTGTTTTGTCCATACTTAATAAGTTGTTTTTGTTTTTCTAGGCGATGGAGAATTAGAAGGAACAAAATACTTATCTTTTAAAATCACTCTTTTTCTCTATATGTAACAGAAATGCTCACGGTACATTTTTAAATTAATTGTGCTTCTAATTCGATGGCAGGGTAGAATTTCAAAGTTTATCTCTTCACATATTTTACTTTATTTTCTTTCCAATCAAGGTATATTGAGGATCCTAATGAAATTCCAGAAACACTGGACAATGATACAGTTAACAACCTATTAACTAAAGCAGTTGAAACTTGCTTTATTGGACAAAGCTTTATTTTTGGAGTGACGGTAATTGAGATGAGCTTTCTTTTCCATATACTGTTAACACTTTCATTGTAATGAAATGATTTGAATTTTCTAAATAGTTCTTAAGCGTTACATGACTGTGAAAGCCCTGGAAACACTAAACTGTGTAAAAATAGCCTGTATATGATTTGTTAAAACACCATGTGTGTCAACTTCCCGTTTTTAAGAGTTAGAAGACCAGTTTAGGTTTTACTTTCAGAAATTACAAAAATCTAAATTTTTTATAAACTCAAAAGTCATTAATAATTTGTTTGGATATTTGGTGCTTATTTTAGCCCTCCAAATTTTGTTCAAACTCTATAGTAAAACTTTCATCAATTCTCCAGGTTTTTTCGTTCTGTCATCCATAAAAAGAATAGAAGGAGGGCACTAACATTGAAAATAAAGTTTCTGAGTATTGAAAAGAACTCTAAGAATAGATGAAGAAGAATAGTCTTAATTAATTGTTAAAAGATTGTACCAAGTCTGAAGGATTAGTCACTTACTCTTTTGTCCTACTGTGTACCAGGCATTGCGCCTAGAAAACATGTTATCCATAGACATGTTGTCTCTTGGTAATGGAGATTTGGTTTGGTTTTACTTTTTTGCAAACTAAAGTTTTAGCTTTCATTCTAAATGAAGACCTACCATTTGACTTCATGAAATTGATTTCAGCCTTAAGATTCATTCTTTTTTGGAAGAAACCTTACAAATGATTTAATCATTTTCAGAATACAGTATTTTCAATCTGCATATGAGAAACAAATTCAGAGAAACTAAATGGTTTGTCCTAGGTCACACAGTTATAAGTTTTAAAAGCCAAATAAGAAATCAGAGCTTCTAAAAAAACCAAACTCACTGCCATCGAGTCAATTCTGACTCATAGTGACCCCCTTTGGGTTTCTGAGGCAGTAAATCTTTATGAAAGTAGATTGCCCAGTCTTCCTTCTGCAGAGTGGCTGGTGGGTTTGAACCACCAACCTTCTGGTTACAGTCAAATGCCTTAGGCACTCTGCCACCAGGGCCATGATTCCTAATTGAGAATTTTTTTAAACCCTAACCCACTAGCCACTCCTCGGAAGGAAGGTTGGGCAATCTACTTCCGTAGTGATACTGCCTTGGAAACCCAGGGAGGGGTTGCTATGAGTCGGGTCTGACTCGACGGCACGTAACAACAACAGCAACAACTCTAGTTCTATACTGAACAATAACTGCATATTTTAACACTTACAAAAGTGATTTTAGACTTACACATTAGGAAAAATTACATCATATAGTTTAAAATTAAAAGTTAAAATGTAGACTTTTAATTGGCAGAGCCCTTTCTAGAGTTCTAATGGCTAATAATATCTTTGAAGTAGAAAAATTGCCCTGCCCACTAGTCAACTGAAACCAGATTAGAGAGATTAAATCAAAACAGCCTTTCTCACCTGGGGTTCTGCAAAAAAATTTAACCACACAGAAAATGATTTAGAAACTGTTTTCTCAGTTCTTCCAAGGAGTGGTACATAGCTAGTACTGTTGTAGATACATAAGAGAGAGAAGCCGGTTCGTCATTTACAATAGATATTTTAGGGCATTAGAGTTTGAAAAGGCCTGGAGAATGTTACATCAGAGTTCTTTGGGACCAAAGCCCACTGGAAGAAATAAATTAGCACAGACCTATTAGGAGCAAGCAGAGAAGCTAGCAATAAAAGATACTACAGAGCTTTATCAACCCTTTGAGATTGGTATAGTTCATTACTTTGCTATCAGACACCAAGATGTTCTCTGAGTATATTTATGCTATTTATATTTCTAAGGAGCTCTAATGGTGCAATGGATAATTCATTTATCTGCTAAATAAATTAGGGTCAGAAGTTCGAACCCACCAGCTGCTGCATGGGAGAAAGATAAGGCAGTCTGCTTCCATAAAGATTTACAGCCTTCAATACCAAATGGAGCAGTTGTAGTCTGTCCCATAGGGTCACTATGAGTCAGAATCAACTCAGTGACAGTGGGTTTGGGGTTTACTTATATTTCTATAACCATTTTCTGTCTTATTTATGCTGAAAGGAAAAATTGAAACTTTTAACCACCCTGAAAAAGGGTTTTAAAAAGGAAAATAGTGGACTCCACAACTGAACAGTGAGAATGTGAAACTGAGACCTTTAGAGCTCTTCTTTGTTAAAACATGTTGTTGTTGTCATGTGCCATCGAGTTGGACCCAACTCATAGCAACCCCTCCTTGGGTTTCCAAGGTGGTATCACTATGGAAGTAGATTCCTCAACCTTCCTTCCAAGGAGTGGCTGGTGGGTCTGAACCACCAGCCTTCTGGTTAGCAGTCAAGTGCTTTCGGCACTACGCTACCAGAGCTCCCCATTAAAGCACAGAAGATTCTTTATATAAGAGAGGATATTTCCTTAAAACTCCAAGTTTCTAGAAACTATTAAGAAATACAATAGTAGCTACCATTTATTGAGTAATTACTATTTGCTAAGCAATATGCAGTTTTCCATATGTTATTGCTAATCCTGCATTTTTACCTTTATTTATCAATAATAAAACTAAAGCATTTTCATCTTCAATTTATAAATGGGAAAACTAAGGCTCAGAGAGGTTAAATAACTTGTCTAAAGTCCCAACCCTAGTAAATGCTGGGACTATGGTTTGAAGACAGTCTCTTTACTCCAAATTTTACATTGTCTTACTCATGCCACTCTGCCTCTAAGGCTGTTGTTGTTAGGTGCCCTAGAGCCAATTTCAACTCATACTGAACCCGATATGACAAAGTAGAAGTGCCTCATAGGGTTTCCTAGTTGTAATCTTTATAAGAGCAGGTCACCAGGTCTTTCCCCACAGAGCCACTGGGTGAGTTTGAACCACTAGCTGTTCAGTTAGCAGATGAGTGTTTAGCTGTTGCACCACCAGAGCTCCTTGCCTCTAATACTAAAGGAATTTAAATTAGGGAGGGCGAAGGGTGGAGAATTACAGTTGATCTTTAACCTTAACCCCTGTTTTACACTTGAGTTGAAGAAAATTTTGTTCTCATTTAAATTTATTTACTTCTTGCACAGAACTTTGAAAGCCAAGGTTCAGATTCCAGTAAGTTCTTACAGCAGTGCCCTGCCCTCAAGAGAGAAACTGAAGCACTGGTAGCTTCCCAGATTGTTCTGCCAGACCCGAGTGTTGCAGGCTTCACTGTCATTGACTACTTCCATGAGATTCTGCAAGCTTCCAACTTAAGGAAACTTCACCATGGCTCCCAGGCAAATAGCTGCGTACTTGCTTTAGGTTACTCAAATAGTGATCTCAGCAGTATATATGGCTCTGACAGCAGTTCTTGTCTTTTTGTTGAATCCTATGGCAGAAATAATTTTTCAGGATTCTGGCAGCCATCACTTGAACTCACTTCCATTGTTTCACAACTAACAGATAATGATGATTTTTCAGCTTCAGAACAAAGCAAGGCCCTTGGTGCTCTTCACCAGAACAGAAAGTGTATCTCCACAGCAGAAGTCACTGCTTCCAGTAGCTACCATGAGCCCATTCAGAGTTCATGGAGTCTTGTTTCATATATGGATAAAAAGAATGAAACAGAAAAGTTGAGTGACAAACTTTGCTTACAAGCTAATCAGCTGAGTGCAGTTTGCGATAATCATCATGAAATTAAAGTTACCGACTCTAATTTATTCCCTTTGAAAATGCAAGTGTCCCTTGAGCCAAGCAATACAAAGTCCTTCCGCAGTAAAGTGGAAATTAAAAATAGGTATTCCCAAGCTAACCTAACATGTGGCAGTCATAATGATGCAGATACCCCTGCTGGTCTCCAAGAGAGATCTGCATGTGGTTCACCTTCATCACTCAGACTTGAAGACATAGCTGGTGGTTCCCAGGATTGTGACCCTGAGATGTGGGATGATCTGCCATTCTCTGAAAGCCTGAACAAGTTTCTGGCAGCTATCGAAAGTGAGATTGCTATTACCCAGACAGATGACGGTAGTAGGAAATACTATCTAGATAATGACATCGATAAATTACATGCAGGCCACAGCAGGTTATCTGTGACTCCCCAGGAAATTACTGGAGCTCTGCATATACTACCTACAGTTTGGAGATCACTACCAGCTAAAGTCAAAGCAAATTTTAGCAAAGATAACTTCCTTCCCAAGTGTCAAACAAATTCAAGTCCTGGTGCTCAAATGGAGTCACAACCAGATCACATACCTGAGACTGTCTTTATAAGTGCCAATGGAAGAGAGATGTCTGATTATGTTCTACCAAATGCTTATCACTCAGCGCCGTTTCCATCTTCAAAAGATTTTGAAACAATAATTACTCTTAAGAAGACAACCAGAATCCAACCACATGGGGCCAAAATTTCACTGAGGCCCAACACTTCAGAGTGTCACCATTCTTTTCTCAATATCAAATATACTAGTGAAGAAAAATCACTTTCAAAAATGAGTGAAAAGTTGACAACTTTGTGTTCCAAGAAGTGTAATGATGTTGCTGATCTTTGCAGCTTAGAAAATAAGCAATATGGGTGGCTAGAGGACCAAGATGACAATTTGACAGTTTGCAGGCGGCTTACATACCCTTTAGAACCTTTTTGCAGGAGTCCAAATATAAGTACAAATACGTTGAAAGAAATGCCTTGTGGACCTATCAATAGTAATGTAACACAGAGCTATTCTCCTGGCTATGAAGGTAGCTACAATGCTTCTGCTGATCTCTTTGATGTTAGTGCTGAAGAAGCAGACATTGCCACAGAAATTACTTGCAAGTCACAGAACATTCTTTTACAGGGGGAAAAGTCTTTGGCAGAAAGTCATCCTGTTGATTCTGGTTTTTCACTGAGATCACGTTCTGAAAACTCAAGCCAGTCTTCACAAAAATTAGCCCTGCAAAGCATATCAGCCTCTATACTTCCAAAAATATGCTCTTCTCCACCTCGTTTTCAATCAGATTCAGCATATGATTTTGAAGAGTTTGTTCCATTTTCACAGTCAACTCCAGTTGCAAGATTCCACCAAACAAGAATTCATGGGATAAAAGGAACTTTCGAAAAATTGCCTGCCTTTTATTCATATCTTGATGTTAACTATAAAAAAACAAGGATTTCCTCTCAAATTAACACACAGCAAGGTACCCCAGATGGTCCCCAAAATAAAAAAATACACATCCAGAGATCTAAAAGCCCTATTATATCTGCTGTTACACAACAAGGTACACTCAACCACAGTCCTATTGCTGAGTGTCTTGAGACTGATAGTGATGAATGGGTTCCCCCTACCACAAAAAAAGAATTTCTTTCAGATAATCTTCAATTCCAAACCACGAGTCTAAGAAAGTGCCTTGCTGCTTGTAATTCCCTTGATCAAGAAGAGATACTGAGAAAGAAACCGAAACATGTTAAACACAGAACAGATAAATACTTAATTAAGAAAGAGTTAAATGTAAAGAATAAGTTTACAAGAAAAACTCCTCAACATAACTATAAATGTTCAGGCTGGATTTCCAGAGAGTCAGTTACTGGACTTAGTACATGTTCAAAAGTGAAAAGTTGCCCCCTGTTTTCAGAAAGTTGGCCATCATCAGCAACTGAAAGTAATAGTGCTTGGTCACCTGAATTGTTTTCATAAAACATCACCTGAATCCAATACTGAACTTCTTAAAGTCATCTTTATATGACTGACTGACTATTCCATAGGTGCCAGAATCCTTTGTGGTATTGTAGCCAACAAGACTTCCTTTTCAACTGCTGATCTTTGAGGAGTCAATAAACATTTATTTATTGAGCACATACTTACGTGACAAACCCTGTGTTAGATTCTGTCATTCGTTAAAAATACTCAGCAAATTGTGTATTGAGTTCCAGGGTGTTTACTTACTGCTTTGCTAGGTTTAAGATGTTTCCACCCTCAAGAAGCTCACACTGTAGTAGATGGTGTCACATTATCTCATTTAGCCCTCACATTATCATGTTTTCCCCATAGCCTCCACCCTCTTATCTGTCAAAAAGAAATAATACCTCTTAAAGCTACTGTGAGAATTAAGTAAGCTGATGTCTGTGAACATGATACCTGCCATTAAAATCAGTGTTCTTTCTGTATCACAACTGCCAGTGCCAGAATCTTGTTTGCTTTCATGTACATCTACACCTTTCTTTTTTTTTCTCTTTTTAGATTTTATTCATATTTATTTATTTTTACCTTTTTTTTAAAATTGTAATTTGGGTAAAAGTTTACAGAGCAAGTTTTCCATTCAACAATTTTTACAAATTTTGTTTTATGACATTAGTTGCAATTGCCACAATGTAGTACACTCTTCCCACTTCTCTTTGTTTACCTTTTCCCTTTGTCCTTCTTTCCTTTGTCCTTCCTGTCCTCTAAGCTTTATACCCTGGGCAAATCCTGCCTTTTGTTCTCATATGGTTGATTGTTCTAATGTGTGTGTACTTCCCTCATATTGTTTGCCTCGTAGGGTATCGTTTGGCTGAAAGTTGAGCCATGGGGGTGAGTTCAGTTCCAGGCTCAAAGGGTATCTATCTAAGGGCCGTAGTCCCGGGGGTTCCACCAGTCTCTGTGAGACCAGTAAGCCTGGCTTTTTTATGATTTTAAATTTTGTTCCACATTTTTCTTCCACTCTCTCTAGGACCTCCTCTTGTGATCCCTGTCAGAGCAGTTAGCAGTGGTAGCTGGGCACCATCTAGTTCTGGTCTTGGTCATGGAGGCTGGGGTTCATGTGTTTCATTAGTCCTTTGGACTAATTATTGCTTTGCATTTTTTATTTTCTTTACTCCAGACAGGGTACCTTTTTATTTCTTGCATATCATTTTGAATTAGCACTTGCTCTAGAGTCGGCAGTAACTTCACCCAAGTCTAATTCCTCCCCTCCACCATGGCCTTTCCCCATCTATCTCCCCCTGTTAAAATTCAAGCTGCCTTTTTCTGACCCCTTGTGCTCCCCACTCACTCAAATTATTTTTTGAAAAGATGCCTTATCACTGATACATTATTCATGGAAATGTAGTTGGTATGAATTCTGTGAGAGAAAATTTGGTATTATCTATGAAAATTTTAAATCCATGTTCCCTTTTAGTAGCTGGCTCAGTTTTAGGTTAGGAATTTATCCCACAAACATATGTATTAGAAGTATATAAGAAAGTTATTCTATACAGCATTGTTTGTGATAGCAAAATGAACAAATATCCATCAGTGTGCATAAATGCTCTTACATGCATATAATATTCGTGAAAGAGTACACAGAAAAACAACGTGGAAAAAGTACAGATCAAAGTATATGATACTTTTTGAAGGATACACATACACAGGAGCCCCTAGCTGATGCAAACAGTTAAGTGCTTGACTACTAACCAAGATGTGATGGTTCATACCCACCCAGAGGTGTATCAGAAGACAGGCCTGAGGATCTTCTGGAAGGCTGCAGCCTTGAAAACCCTGTGGAGCTATGGAGCAGTTCTATTCTGTACACGTGGTCACTATGAGTCAGAATCGACTTTACAGCGACAACAATAATGTATACACACACGTGTGTGTGTGTGTGTGTGTGTGTGTATGTTGTTGTTATGTGCCGTCGAGTTGGCCCCGACTCATAGCGACCCCTCCTTGGGTTTCTGAGGCAGTATCACTACGGAAGTAGGATTGCCCAACCTTCCTTCCGAGGAGTGGCTGGTGGGTTTGAACCGCCAGCCTTCTGGTTAGCAGTCAAGTGCCATATATATATATATATATATATATATATATATATATATATATATATATAAAATTCGATAATTTATCATATTTTAAAAACTAGACATCTTCAGAAGATAATAGAGAACAAACTCATCTTGAAAACCTAAAAATAAGGGGAAAGAAACATTTACCTTGTTCCTCTTAAGTGAACTATTGTTTGGTAACCTCAGAGATAAGGTGAATTCTCTTTAAAAATTCTCCAACTCATTTTTTAAATAATAGAAATGGAATATTACCATTTTGTAACCCCAAATGAATAATGGATATACTCAGTATCAATGGCTGCTAACATTCCAAAAAGATAGATACATGCTTCCTGATGAAAGAACATACCATTTCTTATATAGTCGTGTCAAAGGGATTGAACCTGAGTGATCATGCCTCTGAACACAGCTGTCAATTTGCAAGTATACAACTGACAGGACATGGTGACTGCAGTCAGCAAAACCCAGACTGGAAAACTGCAGGTTAAACAGCTCATATTCAGCAGCTGATTGTAAATAGGAAAGGATAGAGGAGGAACCTGTACATTAAAATAATTTAAAAGACAATAAATTTTATAGAAATGGGCAAAACTAAACTCCAGCACCTTGAGTTGCATACTTGGGGCATCACTTTTCTTGATCATTATGAAAGTCAAGGTGATAGCCATTTTGAGGAGAAAGGATTCTGGGGTATTTGGCAAAGTTCTGTTTCTTGCTTGACCCAAATGCAAGGGTGTTTACCTTGTAAATAGTTCATTAAGTGATATATTTGTTTTGTATATTCTATATAGAATATTCATGTTTTCTACACATAACATGTTTTAGTTTATTGAAAAGTAAAAATTGATTTTTAAAATGTTAATTGTAGGAAGTATACAAAAAACACTAACATGTTAAACACTACTCACTGGCCCAACCTTCTAAGGTATTTTACATACCTTTCTATCTAGTCCTCACAAGTATCCTATGAGAATTTAAGGGAATATTATCTGAGTTTACAGTGATCAAGTAGTTCACTCAAAACTGAATCCACATTGCTGCTAAGTGGCAGAGCAAATGCTCTCGGCTTTTCCAGTACGCTACACTGCCCGTCATGAGGGTAAAGGGCAGTGCTGCATGTGCCCCCATCTCTCAGGTGAGGCATTTCTCTGTGAATCACCTCTCCCTTCTCGTTGGCCAATGGCTGCAACTACTTGAATAATATAAGCTCAAACATAGGTTAATATTCTGTAGTGTTTCTTTGAGTCCCATCACTTGTTTTTTCAGCCTCAAGTAATTTGTGATGTGATTAGAGAAAACTGACCCATTAAAATCTCACCTTTCCCCTAAATTCAGTCTGTTTCCTGCAGTTCTGTTTAGGTGCCAAACTAACTCATGACCACTTGGCACATCTCCCTTCCTCACAGCTCCTTCAGTGGCTGAAACATTTTCTGCTGACTGACTAGAGGACCCAGTTCTGCTGAGAGTCACGTATTTGTCCATTCCTTGCCTGCCTTGAGTGGTAAATGGTAACACATGACATTGTAAATCCCAGTGTTGAGTAGCCTTTTCACTTCATAAACAGTAACTACAAGAGTGCAGGGCCTGGGTTGGTGGATAGAACAGCGCCTGCAACCAGACCCAGTGTTGTACACACCAGCTATTGATTAGGAATACTGAGCAATCTACTTCCGTAGAGATACCACCTTGGAAACCCAAGGAGGGGTCGCGTGAGTCAGAATGGACTCAACGGCAGTGAGTTTTTTGGGGTTGTTTTTTGTTTGTTAGTTTTTTGTAATGAGTATTATCTAAGTAGGTAAAAACAGGCCAAAAAAACAGCAGTGACTGGAGAAGCATTTAGCCACTCTGAAGATCTAAAATTAAGGTATATTTGTTTGGCAAAATAGCTATATTTCAGCAAGCTTTACCAAAACAGCTTGACTCGGGGCTTGCAGTTGAGCTGGTTCCAGCTGAAGGGATTATTTGAAAGTATTTGAGCAAGTGTGAATTTAAAAAAGCTGATTGGGCATGATTAAATTAGCAGGAGTCAAATGCCTGTGACAACATGTTACAACTCTCCTTCCTTGATCACAGGGTATTTCTTATATAGGGAAAGTGGATGTGGTAATTCTGATATTAAACCTATACCTCTGAGAAGCCAACCAACCTGATTACCATATTTTTATGCAAATACCACATTATACTTTTTTTGCCAACTGGGTTTTCTCCCCTCCCTATATTTTCATAAAGTACACTATGCTAATTTTTTATATGTTTCTGTAAAAAAAAAATTAGCATAGCATGCTTATGAAAATAACTTGAAGGGCAAGGGAGAGGGTAGGATGTGGTTGGCACATAACACAGGTGTATGTGTGTAAAAATACAGTAACTAGATGCTGCCTCTCAATGGCCTGTTAGATGATTTCTTTAATAGACTTTATTTTTTAGAGCAATTTCAGACCTACAGAAAAATTGTGCAGAAAGTATAGAGAGTTCTCCTATAATCCCCTGACCCTGCACAGTTTCTGCTGTTACTGACATCTTGCATTCCTGTGGTATATGTGATATAATACATTCATCAGTATTGATAGATTATTATTAACTATAGTCCATAGTTTACTTTAGGGTTCACAATTTGCATTGTACCATCCTATGGATTTTGACAAATAGATGATTCATTTTTTTATGTCATGAATGTACATAATACCACTTATTGTGTACCTATTTATACCACAGACCATGGCACTTTACCTGTATTTTACTTACTTCTCAGAATAATCCTGTGTAGTAGATAATATTAGCTTGTATATTATAGAAGAAGAAACTGAAGCACAAATGTAGTAAGCGTGTTGTTCCAGGTCACAACTAGTATGTGCTATAATTAGGGTTCAAACACAAATCTTCTGTATACAAACTATGTTC